ATATATATATATATATATATATATATATATATATATATATATATATATATATATATATATATATATATATATATATATATACATATATACATATATATATATATACATATATATATATATATATATATATATACATATATACATATATATATATATATATATATATATACATATATATATATATATATATATATATATATATATATATATATACTATATATATATATATATATATACATATATATATATATATATATATATATAACAAAGAAGTATGTCTGTTTGTTTGTGTGTCCGCACGAGAATCTCGGAAACTACTTTACCGATCTGTAGTGATGATGGATGGTGTTATATGTAATGATGATGGATGGTGTTATATGTAGTGATGATGGATGGTGTTATATGTAGTGATGATGGGTGGTGTTATATGTAGTGATGATGGATGGTGTTATATGTAATGATGATGGATGGTGTTATATTTAGTGATGATGGATGATGTTATATGTAGTGATGATGGATAGTGTTATATGTAGTGATGATGGGTGGTGTTATATGTAGTGATAATTAGACAATAAAATAATAAGAGTTCAATGCTAAAAAAATTATACTTTGCTATACCATTGTAGTGAAAAACATGGTGGAACTTACATACACCGTTAATGAACTATTGATGGAAGAAGAAGTCTTGGGGACTGAACAGTGAGACAATGTGGAGCCTCCCGGAGGGTGGCGTCCTACCGTGGCCTAGCGAATGAGCCGCCAGGAGGGCGGCGTTTCTGCTAGTGTGTATATATATATATATATATATATATATATATATATATATATATATATATATATATATATATATATATATATATATATATATAAATGAATGTAGGCTCCATCGGCCTAGTGACCAGTTTGGGGCGGTGGCGACCATCACTGACCATTACTATTTTCATTTCTGAAACTGTAAAGTTACCTCTGCGTCGACTTAGTGGCCGGCTGCCGGACTTGAACTGCTTTTAAGATGATAGACTATTAATGCAGACATCGAAATAAGTATCATATGCGCTACACTGTGCTGTGCAGTACATGCACCCTTTAGGATGCCGACAACGACGCTAAAATTAAAATCCTCTTCATCAACATTTCATTAAACAAGTGAGCTGCGTGTGGGGTCGTTCCAGAGTGTTGCAAGGAGGCATATAGATAATTCTCCCCCCCTCCTCCCTCCTACCTCAGCCGCGCCACTGATCCCATAATGGCACAGTTGCATATCTGGACGATGAGAAAAAATTCTGCATTGTCTTCTTGTGGTCGGTTGGGTTCATCTGGGATAGGATTATGGAGATCCCCGCCATGTTCCTCACCTCTCTCAACAACACACACATTTTACGCGCTTCTGAGTCTATACCTTTTTGTGCATTCGCCACCTGGAGGTTGTGTGGGGGTAGGTCTCTCAGGGGTGACCATGGTGGTGGTGCTACATACCAGGTGTTTGGTTGGTGACTAGGGTGTTATTATGGCACTGCTTCACCTTGTAATTGGTAGGTAACTAAGGTGTTATTATGACACTATTTCACATTATTCTCACGCAAGAACGTAAGGGTCGATCTCTGAGTTTCTCCACCGACCATAAAATCACATTTAGAGAGGATTAGTAGACCCACCTTAGTGTTATCTCATTAAAGAGTACAATGATATCCTGGTAGATCTGCTTTAACACGTAGTCGATAAAGAAGTCATTGCAGAAAGCTACCAGTATTATGAGTTATAACCTGACATAAAGCGGATTCTATTTTCTTTCATTTGTTATGAGCGGGAGACCAACAGTAATAATTCAATGGAACTCTCTACCACAGTGTTTTTCTTAACGCCATATCAAGGCCAAAAGATTAAAACAGCCAATATTCTGTATTAATTATAGTTAGTCATTGCGGTTCTCCCTATATCATTAATTTGTCTCTTCCATAAAATTAATCCACACATGAACGTCAACATACCCTCATTATGCTTTAGCTTCACGTGTAAGAAGAGTCCCAGCCTTCAGACAGTAGTCCCTCTTGATGATAAAGATGATTCTGGTAAAACAAGTGAGATATTTGAGCAATGTTTTGTTGTCGCTGCTTTCGTTGTTGTTTTTGTGAGTGTTTTTGTTGTTAGTGTTAATATTCGTTGTTGTTTTTGTTGTTAGGGTTGTTGCAGCTGTTGTTGTTTTTGTTGTTATTCTTAGGAGTCGTTGTTGTTGTTGACTGAACTTCTTTCCCTTCGGTATATTTTGCTGCGTTAACCCAATACTCGTTTTATTTTCCTTATCTGAACAATATTGTTGCTGTGGGTTTTTTTCCACGTGAAGGAGCCTTTTTTTTTTTAACCCAAGTGAGGTTTAACATAATCCCTAACCATTTTTATCGTTCATATTTCCTTCACTTTAGGTTAGAATCCCTTGACATGTAATTTTAAGTTTTTCTACGCTGATAAAACAATTAGCTATTATTTTTTCTTAGTATTTATTTAGAATTTCAGATTAATTTTGCTGCCTGAAGAGTCATGATGTCACCAGTGATTTATTTCATTAGTTGCTGTTGAAGGTGACAGCCTCCCACGCCTGACGTCACCTGGCGGATAAGACGTGACAGAGGGAGAGAGTGAGAGAGAATTTTCCAACTAGGGAATCCAATTATTTTATATCGATTATTATCCTTGCTTATCATTCTCTTCAATTCCCCTTTTGTTTTCATCCTTATTAACATGGTGGCATAGTTTAGTAAATAATCTTGTTTATTACACGGATAATATGTTTCACCTGAAACCTATAAGTTTTGTATATACTCTCTCTCTCTCTCTCTCTCTCTCTCTCTCTCGCTTTCTCTCTCTCTTACATGCCCTCCAACATTTTCAAATTCCGTAAGATTCCAGTCCCCTTTTTTAAAGATAAACATAACCCTGTCTTCTCTTGGTGTGTGGACATTTTTGCCCCCAGTCAACATAGCGGAGGTTGTGCTGACCCGTCGTGACCTCTGCCAGGAACATGACCTGGTCGGATAAGGAATTTTTACTGCTCCTGCGGAGTTGGGACGGAGGAAGAGGAGGGGGGGGGGGAGACGAGGAGGAGGAAGAGGAGGAGGGATAAAAGAAGAGGAGGAAGAGATAAATGAGGAGAATGAGGAGGAGGGATACGGACAATGACGACGACGACAGCAATGATGAAGAGGAGAAGGACTTAGGGGAGAACAGAAGAAGGAGGAGGGGGAAGAGGAGGAGGAGGGGGAAGAGGAGGAGAAGAAGGAAGAGAAGGAAGACGAAGAACTGTTTTGTTATCGTCCTCTCTCCCTCTTGACTGGCTTCGTGTTCGTGAGTCAACACTGTATGATAATGATCTCTGCCCTGTGGTCACTTAAAGTTCTTTATATACAGGAGTAAATACACAAATATGCACCTAATGCATGGCTGATCATGCACGCACACACACACACACACACACAAACACACACACACATACACACACACAACATTGTCATTATTTAAATTATCTAACTTTCATTAACTCACTATGTGTAATTCCTTCAGTAAAAACAACTTTTATTTTCTATATTTCCCTTTCCTTCCCTTCTCTTGCCTCTATCACCTTTTCTCTCTCATATCAACTAAATCTATTTCTTCCACCCAATACCTCCTATGTCCTTCCACTATGCGTCTCCTTCATAGTATATTTATCATACACTGATTGAGATGATGCTTGAAGTCTATCTGATACTTCACTTGGTGTCTTATGATAGATTGTATATTAAGCCAACTCCTCTTTGCTACGTCTCATTTAATACTTTTTTTAATGTATTTTTTTTTAACCCTTGATGATTTCCTCAGTGTCCATCGTGGGATATAGTCTGTCTTTCTCTCGGTGATTTTAATAATATACGGTATTATTCTTATTAATACAACAGATCGGTGTCTAGTGTTATAAACTTGATCAATAACGAGTTAAGGTCAGTTTGTGTACCTCTGATCGTGGGATCATGGAGAGTGAACAGGTTGAAGGACATTCTTCTTCTTCTTCTTCTTCTTCTTCTTCTTCTTCTTCTTCTTCTTCTTCTTCTTCTTCTTCTTCTTCTTCTTCTGGGTGAATTAATTGCTGTCTTGTTGTGTTGGTGTTTTTATCCAAGTACAGTGTAGTGTTGGGTAGTGCTTGCTTCACCGTCTTGTACTGTGTGGTCCTCCTCAAGTCCATGTTGCATAACGGGTAGCTGAGGCAACAGCTTATATAATATATGTATGACCAAGAATCTATTGTTGTTTTTTTTCTTTTTCTCTCTCTTTTTTTTTCAAGCGACGCCATCAGTAGTTATACAATGCTCTTTTTCTAGCCTTTCAATAGTTTTTTTTTTCATATAAATGTTCCCATGACCTTATTTATATGACCTGGTGATGGTGTAAGGAGTCGTAGGGGAGTCACGACTTACACAACGCTCCACAAACGTGATTTACCCCACTGGTCACTTTTTCTCGAGTGTGTCACTGAGTTTGTCACCAGACTGTAAAAGACACACCTGTTACCTGATCAATTTAATACCGTTTTATTAATAAATTCCTAATCAAAATACGGCGTTAATAAATTTGATCTTGTCGAAATAATAACACGGTAGTAATAGAAATTAATATTAAATAATTTTATTCCTCAAAAAATATACGCATTGCACCATAAAACAAGAATAAACATGAAGCTGTTAAATCTTCAATGTACTATATAGTCGTACACGTCTGGGTTAGAGTAAACTGTTAATTATCAATAGCCACCAGTATGAGCGAGTAAACTAACAATAGCCACCAGTATGAGCGAGTAAACTAACAATAGCCACCAGTATGAACGAATAAACTAACAGTAGTCACCAGTATAAACAAATAAACTAACAATAGCCACCAGTATGAACGAATAAACTAACAGTAGTCACCAGTATAAACAAATAAACTAACAATAGCCACCAGTATGAGCGAGTAAACTAACAGTAGTCACCAGTATGAGCGAGTACCCACTGAAAACTAATAAGAGTCACCAGCGCAGCAGTAGTCGAGAACAAGAGAGTTACAGTGACTACTCTCAAGAGGTTGGCGGGTCAGGTCTGAACAAACTTACCCGGTACCACTGTTGAGGATTTATCATATGTACACCAACAAGTCATGGCCGCCAGCCCCTGCCAGCGCTCCACACTCCTCTTTTTACACAAACTGTATTTACATTACTGTCAACTTCATGCACGTCTCTCACACGTCTAGAAAACGACGATACTATCACCGTCTTCTGTCAGGACGGGTGTAATTATACTGTCTTATGTGATAATAAATGATACAAGGAGCTTTTATTATGAAGAATGATTATCTCTATTTATGGGATACGAATATTAAGGCGGTAAAATTTTGATATAAATGATAGTAAGAGTATTAATAATAGCGACAGATGTGTGTAACTATGACATCAACTGTTGCCTCAGCAGTTACTGTACGTCACATCACACGCCTCTCTCCCAGCATGTATTAGAATGTTCACATACTGTATATACTGTACCTATATACATACATACATACATACATACATTGGAAAATCTCATAATACAGTCGTGTATGTGAGTGTACCTTGTAGCCTCGTTATCAGCTGTTAGTAGTGCTCGTCAGGTAGTAGCGAGGACGGGGGCAGACTGCTGAGTGACCTCGAAGGTGAGTGGTGGTGAGGATGAGAAATATCTGTGGGACTTTTCACCAACATGACTTCTGATAAATTCTTGTTTGGCCTCGTACTTGTGACGCTGAGCTGCAGGATTAAACTAACATTAAACATGCTTAAAATCAGTCAGGTCTGATATGGTAATTAACTTCATGTATATTTTATTTTAGTAGTGTTTTGATATGAGTGAGGCCGCAGCTGTTGCTTCTGTTATTACTTCATGAATAAGACGGAAGTATAACAATGTAAATACGGTGTAGGTAAACCTTCAGTGTCTGTTTAACCCGTTCACCTATCATTTTTCTAATTATTTTCTCTATGATAGATGCAATAAGTTGACATAGTATAATCGTGTAATGGGTATGACCCTCGGCCGCCTGTGTCTATATGCCAGACATACACGGGCGAAATCCTGAAAGAGATAAAGCAAATACCTGACACGTCATTTTGTTTTTTTTCTGTAATAAAGAAGACAAGCGTGATGTATCCAACGGGAGGGATGTAACAGCTGGCCAGTTTTTTCTTCATACATATAACATGAATTTCAGTGTTGATCTATTGCATAATAATGTAGACAAAATAACATGACTATCAAACCCTCATATATGAAGTTTATTATTGAAGCTTGTGTTGTTTTTATTGGTGAAATGTATAAGAGAGAAAGTGAATGAACTTGCACATGGTTAAATAAGAGTTTCAATACGATAACCTGACAAGATGGTGATAACTGTGGCCCCCCGGTGTTGGTAGAGAGATTGGTAGGCGCTGTTTCTTCTCTGTCTTTTTAATATCAGGAGCAGTACTCAACACACCCAACTAAAAATCGACATTGATTTATCTATTTGCTTTACCTCTTTATAAGTAAATAATATTACAGGTACGGACAACAGGTAAAGATTACATATACAAGTACAGGTGAATATACAAGCAGAGACACAGGTACACATGCGAGCACTGGTATTGAAATTCCAGTGTGTTAACGGAGCACAAACATGATTCAAGAGAAAAGTAAATTTATTAGACCACATGATCTTACACACACACACACACACACACACACACACACACACATAAAATATACAAGAAGCGACTATCTCTTAGACCGAAGGTGCTCCCTCTTATAATAACCAACCTCGCCTTTATGTTTACCCTTGCATGTGTTGTATGTGGCGTATGTGGCGTATATGGTGTATGTGTTGTATGTATTGGATTGCGTTGTATGTGTTGTACGTGTTGGATGTGGCGTATGTGGTGTATGTGTTGTATGTATTGGATTGTGTTGTATGTGTTGTACGTGTTGGATGTGGCGTATGTTGTGTATGTGGTGTATGTATTGGATTATATTATATGTGTTGTTTGTGGTATATGTGTTGCATGTATTACTTGTTAGACGAAGAATAGAAGAGGGTTTGTGTTATTAAGTTATGGGACAACATTATACCTCATGTTACCTGCCTTCATTCACTCGTGCTCAGGTATACAAGCTGGTAAATAATTGATCAGTGAGTGAGTGAGTGAGAATGAGGAGGTAAATAGAGTGAGTCAATGAGTAAGAGTTGAACCCATGAGGGACCAGGCAACAGCGAAGGCGGTGAGTTTTAGTGAGATCAGTTAGATGAGTAATTAAGACTCATGACTCAACAGGTGGGAGGAGAGATTGATATGACTCAATGTGGTGAGAAAATGTGAATCCCTAACGCAACAGGTGGGGGTGGAGAGAGAGAGAGAGAGAGAGAGAGACACCGCAGTAACTCAAGTAAGATGAGTAAGTGTGTCTCACGAAGTAACAGATGAGAGATGAGACCAAAATGACTCAGTACCTTGAAAGGGGGAAGGAGGAGGGAGGGAGGGAGGAGGAGGAGAGAGGGAGGAGGGACCAAGAGCACCACGCCCCCTTCCTCCCACAGGAAAGACAAAGGTGCATTACATCCACGCTAGACTCACGCACCACCCAACGACCTCCCTTCCCCTCCCCTTCCCTCCTCCCTTTCCCTCCCCCTATCCCTCCCTCTCCCTCTCCCCTTCCGCTTAGTGTCCCAACGCCGAACCTCTGACGAAAAAGACACAGTATATACCCTCGTTAAACGCCCCCCACGCCCCCCACGCCCCCATTCTAAAATTTACATATACGTAACTTTCATCCAAATTTATGTTCGTCACGTTTGTCCTTCTCTTAAATGTCACCCAAATTTCATAACGAGTCTTGTGGTATATGGGAAATATTTGAGAATATCAGGATAGCAGATATTATCCATCTTGTTCTCAGGGTTTGTGATGAGATTCTTAGGACATAATGTAATATTATTATTTTTTCCTCGCCTGTGTTCTACCTTTCCTCTACTCATATATATTCTTCCTTCATTGTAATTTACGTAATGTTTCTTATGATTTTCTTGTCTTTTTTGTATTTATCCACTTCTTCTTTTTCCTCTTCCCCTCTATTTCTTTTCCCATTCTCCTTCTCCTTTTCTTACACTTCCATATTTTTTTCTTCTAATTTGTTCATTTACTTCTCCTACTCCTCCTTCTCCTCCTCCTCCTCCTCCTCCTCCTCCTCCTTCGCCTCATCTTTCTTTCCCAATTCCTACCTCTATTTCTTCATCCCTTCCATTGTTTCCTCTTCACTCACTCACCATATTCCCTTTCCTTCAACTCCTTCACCTACATCAACACTCCTTCACCCTCATTACTCTTACCTTCCTTTACACCACTCAATCATCACCTCCTCCTCCTCCTCCTTCTTCTGTCCAATTATCTCCATTCCTTCTTAAACCCTTTCTCTCCTCCTCTTCCTACTCCTCTTTTGCCTCCTCCTCTTCCTACCTCCTTCCTCACACCAACAAGAAGACAAATTACACCAAGGAACACACACACACACACACACACACACACACACACACACACACACATGTTACAGATTACTATATAAGACCTGCCTGGTTCACCTTGATGCTAGAGCAGGTGAACTTGCCACTAGTTACCTGTTTATCGTTGTGTGAGGGGGTGGGTGAGCGTGGATGAAAGTAGAAGGGTGGGAGGAGGGTGGATGAGTGTGGAAGGAAGGTGGGAAGGTAGGAAGATGGGTGTGGGTGAGATTAGGTGGATAAGGGTGGAATGGTGAATGGATGAGAATAGGTAAGGGTAACATGATGGCTTAGTGAGGGTGTATGGAAATGGTGGGTGAGGGAGAACGGAGAAGAAGGTACTGAAGAGAGGGGATGAATGAAAGAGTGTGGAAGAGGATGACAAAAAGAACGTGAGAAAGAGAGTAGATGATAAAAGCTGAGAGAGAGAGAGAGAGAGAGAGAGAGAGAGAGAGAGAGAGAGAGAGAGAGAGAGAGCACTTCAAGGAGATAATGGTCACTGTAATGTGCATAGAGGATACAGAGTTACCGATATATACATACAAAGGGGAAAGGTTGCAGGAGGTGTAGTACATTACAATAAGAAAAATACCTGCACAGATCATGGTGGTTACAATGGAGCTTAGGATAAAGAGAAGGGGATGAGGCAGTAAAAGTATATGGACATTGTAATGGTTTGTAGAGAGTTAATGAAAGTGGGAAAGGTTAGAGGAGGATTGTTGTAAGTGGGGAATTAGTTGCAAGACAAATGGATGGTTGCAAGGTTTGACGTCCGGGACTTCTTGAAGGGGAAGGTGAGAGAGAGACGAGAGAGAGAGAGAGAGAGAGAGAGAGGGGGTTACAGTGGGCGTTGCTGTGGTTAAGGGAATTCGTGATTACTGTCGACATTGCCGATGTATTGCAGAAATGTTAATAGATAATAAATACGTTGAGTGTGTGTGTGTGTGTGTGTGTGTGTGTGTGTGTGTGTGTGTGTGTGTGTGTGTGTGTGTGTGTGTGTGTGTGTGTGTGTGTGTGTGTGTGTGTGTGTGTGTGTGTGTGTGTGTGTGTGTGTGTGTGTGTGTGTGTGTGTTAGAGAATGTTTTTGTTCTTGCATCTCAGTTTAAGGTTCACGTCAGCTAAGGTGAGACTCCCCCAACTCTGACGGTGTTGTGGCGGACTATTTCTCGTACTGCTTCATTAGTACACTTAATCCATCACCTTACCTGACGCATCAAACACCTGCCTGACACCTGTGACTTCACTATACGAGATATTTACTGAAGATACAGAAATAGGGATCACATGAAGATTAATCCCCAGTGAATTTCATCTCAAGCTTAACCACTTTAACGTTAACCTAACCTAACCTAACCTGCCCTAACCTAACCTAAAGCTAACCTAACGCTAACCTAACCTAATATAATCTAACGCTAACGTAACCTAATCTAACCAAACCTAACCATCATCAGTTAATCCGGAGACAATAATCTGGTTGTGTCACATTTAATCGAGACTGTCAACAACCTAGTTTTTCCGCAAGTCGTTAGCATCTG